ATAACATTTCCAAACAACAATTTTCAAACTTTTCAAAATTTTTTTAAGTTTATTTTTAAATCATGTGTATTCTATTACAGTCGTCTCACTTTTTCCCGCTTTGCCCCCCTCCTCCCACCCCCCCCCGCCCCCGCTCCCACACTCAGCTCCCACTCTGTGGTCCGTGTCCGTGGGTCATCCATGCGTGTTCTTTGTCTAGTCCCTTCTCCTCCTTTCCACCATCGTCCTCCTTCCCCGTCCCCTCCGGTCACTCTCTGTCTGCTCCATGTTTCCATGCCTGTGGTTTATTTTGTTCGTTAGTTTATTTTGTTGAATAGATTCCACTTATAGGTGAGAACCTATGGTATTTATCTTTCACCAACTGCCTTATTTCACTTAGCATAACATTCTCCAGTTCCATCCATGTCGTCGCAAAAGATAGGAGTTCCTTCTTTCTTTTTTTTTAAATGCAAATTGATTTTATTTATTTATGTATTTTTTAAATGTCAAGATTCATTATAAAATATTTACAAATTTAAATCCATTATAAAGTTTCAGCAATCATGACACCTGCACAGATATAATCAAGTAGGTCAATGAAATAAAATGAGCTTTCTAGAGACAAACGTATACATCTGTCTAACAATGTATATATGATTAAAGTGATATTTCAAATCAATGGGGAAAATAAGGCTTATTCAACATATAAGGTGCATGGATCACTGTTACTTGAAATAAAACAAATATAGAACTTTAGTTCATACATTATACAACAAATATTCAGGTGAGTTAAAAATCAATATGTAAAATCTAAGGAGTTTTAGGAGAAAATACAAAATAATAGTTTTCTTACCCTGAAGTAACATATTCAAACCCAGAAGCTATAAAGTAAAATATTGACAATATGATTATATTAAACTTTTAAGACTATACAGTAATATTCATGTAAAATAAGTTAAAGGACAAGTAATAGAATAGGAAAGTATGTGCAACACATCTAAAAAAGGGTTAATAATTTTCTAGGGTTTTTTGAGGGAAAAAATTCTACAAACATTTAGTCAAAAAAATGGATAAAGAATACCAAAAAGTCATTTAAAGCTTTTTAAAAATAATATAAATAGGCAAGAAATATACAAAAACAGGTTTAGTTTCAACAAATAATGAAGTAACAATTAAAATAACACATCATTGTCAAAATCAGATTAGTAAGTATTAAAAATATTGGTAATATCAAGTATTAGTGACTGTGAAAGGAACTGGGAAATCATAGACTCTTTTTCTTCATCTTAAAGCAGCCTCTTTAGCATATCTTGCAATGCTGGTTTGGTGGAGGTGTATTCTTTTAGCCTTCTTTTTTTTCTTGGAAACTCCTATTCACCTTCCATTTTAATTGAGAGCCTTGCTGGGTAGAGCAGTCTTGGTTGCAGGCCTTTGCTTTTCATGACTTGGCATATTTCTTGCCATTCCCTTCTGGCTTGTAGTGTTTCTGTTGAGAAGTCAGCTGCTAGCTGTAGGGGGGCTCCCTTATATGTTACTACCTCTTTCTCCCTGGATGCCTTTAGGGTTCTCTATTTGTCTTTGATAGTTGCCATTTTAATGATGATGTGTCTTGGAGTGGGCCTCATTGGGCTCCTCTTGAATGGGACCCTCTGTGCTTCCTGGACTGATGTGACTTTTTCTCTCCTCCAATTAGGGAAGTTTTCCATAATTTTTCAAACAGGTTCTCTATCCCATGTTCCTCTTCTTCTCCTTCTGGTATCCCTATTATATGGATATTATCATGTTTCAGGCTGTCCTGCATTTCCCTAAATGCTTCTTCATTCTTCTGAGTCTTTTTTCACTTTCTTGCTCTTTCTGGGAACCTGTTTCTACCTTGTCCTCCAGCTCGCTAATTTGGTCCTCAGCTTCATCTAGGCTGTTTTTGATTCCTTCTACTGTGTTCTTCAATTAAGAAATTGTATTCTTCATTTCCTCTTTTCTCTTATTGATAGTTTCTATGTCCTTTTTCATGCTGATGTAGTTTGCAGTGAGTTCCTCATAGTTTCCCTGTAGTTTTTTGTAATTCTTTCTGAGCTCATTGAGCTCGTTGAGCTTCCTTAGAACCATTGTTTTGAACTCAACATCTGATAGTTTACTTACCTCTACTTCATTTAGTTCTCTTTCTGGGGATTCCTCCTTTCCCTTTGTTTCTTTGTCTTCCCATTATTTGTGAGACTCTTCTTTTTTGGTTCTGCTTCTTAAATTGATCTGTCTTGATTTCCTGACTTTGTGGTGTGAACTTCTATGGCAGGAAACCACTGTTTTTTTTCTTTCTGGATCTGCTTCTGATAATGTCAGATGTTGACCTTGTCTGACCTTAGGCAGTCTGTTCGAGACTTCCAGGAATCTATTGTCTGTAGCCAGAGCTGTTAATCGTTAGCTCTCCTTCAGTTGTTAATCTAGTCACTCTTCACTCAACAGGCCAGCTTAGAGACATCACAGGGCGGGGCCAAGGCCCCCCTGGGGGCGGGGCTATTGGTTCCTCTCACAGCTGTTGCCACTCAGGGGCGTGTTCTGCCTGAGCAAGATGGCTGCTGCCGCATGGGGGATGACTTAGCGCCAAGATCCTGCTGGCTACTCTCTCTGTTCTCTCCCCAAAGCCTCCTTCCCCAGTCTTTCCACAGGCATCTCTAGCCGGCTCTGCCCCCGCCTTTGCCAGAGACCAGTGTCAGTGGCTGCAAACAAAAATTTATGCGTTGACCCTTTAAACAGCTCTTTGCATCTCTAGCCACCCATCTCTAGCAGAGAGGAACTCTGCTGCTTTTCGCAGCTGGCTGTTATCTGTGTACTTCTTGGGCTCAGGTGCTTCAGGCTGAAGATCCCCACTTATGGTTTAGACCCCGCTCTTCTCAGGGGAATCCAACTGGCCATTTCAATATCCTTCTGGCGCTGCCACCTGTGGGTGCCCCGCCCACCTTATTGAGTCTCTACCGCACTCCTTACCAGTCAGGTTGTGCTGAAGCTGATTCTCCTCTCTGTCTGAGGTTATAAGGCTCCTCTCTCACTATTGTTCAGTTGTTCATTCCAGGGGATTTCTCCATAATTTAGTTGTAATTCCAGGTTGGTCCTGGGAAGAGGTCAGTGTGACTTCCACTCAGTCCTCCACCATCTTGATTGCTTGCAATTTTCAAACTCTTATTTCACAACATTTGAGCAGTGGGTTTACTGCTGGAGAAAAAAAAATACTTAGATCTTTTCTAAACCAGTGTAAATAGTCAGAATGAATACAAAGTATAAAGCACACTTTTTATGACCTCATCCACCAAGGTGACTTTTTTAGATGGCCCACATATTTGGATATGTACATTCTGGTGTTTTTATCAAACAATGATTCTCATTTCTTATAGTTATGCATTCTCCCTCCACAAAGGGGCATGCAGAATCATAATTATTCATTGGAACCCTTGACCTTAGGCTGTGATCTTGGTGTGAAAGCCAATTTTTCAAGGGTCAAATCTAACTGCTAATGCATGGGAAATTTCAGTGATGTATTGAGAACAAGTGCTCTCTAGGAAAAGAATTTCAAATTTTAACAGATTCATTATTTACTGTTTGACTCTCATACACACACACATGCCCCTTGATATCTATTTTATAATTACTTAATTCATGATTACTTATCGGGTGACCTATAGATTGCCAAGGAGAGAAAGGTAACTGTTAGTTCCCAAATCACTTCCTCTGAAGTCTTATTTTCATATATTTTTTTTTAACAAGGTAGAGAACGACCAACAAAGCAGGGTGTTCTTTGTTAGGACCCACCATATTTGCTTAACCTTTTTTAATCTTAAAATTTCTCAGTCTGTAATCTCCAAAACGAATGCCTGGCCCTCACCTCTTCCGGGTGGGTGCCTGGCTCCCCTGCGCCCTTGCTCCCCGAAGGAAGGCTAGGCCACACCTGACGTTTTCGGTCGATGCACGTCCATGCTGTAGGAGAGCGCCGTGGCCAGGTGTGCCCGTTTCGGACAGGACTGGGCACACAAGGTGGGCGACCGCCCTCAGCTGCAGTAACAAGGAAGTGCTCCAAGCACCTACTTCAAAAATCTCCAAGATATTTCAACTGAAAAGGGGAAAGTTCAGAATAATAGATACAGCCTGTTACTGCATATACAAAAAGGTGGCATAGGTTCCTTTACGCTGATGGGTACGGAGACCACCTCTGGAAGGACCGGTAAGAACCTGGTAACAGCTGTCATGAAGGCTTGGGGACAGGACAGGAAGGAGAGTTGGCTTTCCCCTCTGAGAAGTGAATTGCAAGGGAAGTGAAGCCAAGGATGCTGGATCTCCCATCAAGTCGGGCAAATGTGTAGCTGCATCAGCCGGGCACCGCAGCGTCCGCATGAAAAGACCTGCGCGAAGCTCTCCTTCCAGACCCTGCGCTGCTGCCGCCCCCGTGTGAAGATCTGCCTTGTGGCCGCCGCTCAGGGGGACCCCATCCTGCGCCCCCGGTGCCCTGCAGAGCTCTCCCCAGTGTCTGCCAACACCGCCCCCTGGCCCCCCCTGCCCTGCCGCCCCCTCAGATCAGGGAAACTTGGCCGAATGAGAGAAGAGTCTCCCCTCTCCCAGAGGCACATGGGCCTCCGTGCAGAGCGCGTGTGAGAGGGTATCCGTGTGTCAGCTGTTTAAAGGCAGAGAAGACGCCTCTGCACATCTGTGTCTCTGCCACCCGGCAAAGAACTCGGGGCTAAGCAGTCGCTCGCAGCCGCTGGCCCCTTGACCACTCCAGCCTCAGGTCACCGGGTTCCCGGGCAGGCCCGCTCCCCTGAACACGAACGCCTGTCTATTTTTAGGCAGAAGAGTGTTCAGAACCTCCTGCCCACAGCCTTACTCAGTAGACCAGATAAATGTGCTCATTCCTGCTGAGCGTTCCCCAAACCCTATAAATGGCCCCTTTGTGTGCCATCTGCTCTCCGCTCCACCGCACCCTTCGTCACATTTGCCTCTGCCCAGGAGGGCTGGGCAAGTCGAGGGCACCTGACCACATGAAGGTCCTCTTTCTTCTCGCTGTTCTCCACTGTTTGGTCCCAATGAACTCAGGTAAACGCGTCCCGGCCAGGGCGGCAGCCACCACCGCCCTGGGGAGGGGAGCCGGGGAGGCGGGGGAGGCGGTGCAGGAATTCACGCACGGCTATCTGCGCAGGGCCGCTGCGTGCTGTTGGGGTGCAGGGGGACCTGCCGGGGCTCCGCTCTGGCCGTTTTCATCTCCCCCATGAATTACCAGGGTCATAGCAAAGGCAAAGTGGCGCCTGTGCTGTGGGACGAGCAGGAGGCGTCCATGAAGCCTGAGAAGTCTTAGAAGGCGGGGCCGTCACTCGGGCGACGGAGCTGGAAGGGACTGGGGACTTTCCGTGGCAGCTCCGCACTCTGAGGGGCACAGAGACCGCCCTGGGGAGACGCTTGGCCGGGCCAGTGACGGTCACGGTCCTGGGGGTTAGTTACGTAGGGCCCATTTGACAGATGAGAAGACTGAGGCGTGGCCGGTGACATGCCTGGGCCAAGGAGAAATCCTCCATCACTAGAACAAGGAAGACGACTCCCCGTCTCCCGATCAGCAGGCCAGCGGCCCTCTCACCTGCGTTAGACATGGGGCCGTCCCTTCGCCTGCCTGTCCTCCTCAGGCCTGAATGGATGCAGGGCCAGGCGTCAGCCGCATTTGTGGCTGAGATACTGTGCAAGGTTGTCAAAATCATGCAAGACGCACGCCGTGGGTGTTTGGTGGTTTTTTGGTTTTGCTTTTTCTTAGTCACCATAGTTAGCATTTGCAGACCTGACGTAAGACCATTCTTTCAATTCTCTCATTCCCAAGGGGCAAATATTTTTTTTAATTGATGTCTAATTGACATATAACATTACATTAGTTTCAGGTGTACAATGTAATGATTTGATATCTGTAGATATTACAAAATATTCATCACATAAGTCTAGTTAACACCCATCACTTCACGTAGCTAAAATTTTTTTCTTCTGACAAATATAAACTATTTTCCTGATGGGAACATAAGGGATTGTGTTTGTCCTACACATTCATGAGTTATGGCGGGGAGAGAGGTTTTATTTTATGCTTTTCATTGCAGGATATAAAACTAAAAATTTTGAGCCCCCAGCTGAGCATCAGAACTATTTCCAACTTTCCTGGAGGCTGAGGCTCACCCTCCATTATTCTGCTGTTCCCCAAAACGCTCCTTGCCTTCCCTAATGCATTCACTCGCATCTGTCCCCAGGAAGCTGGAAGACCCTGTTACACTGTAATAATGTAGATTATCGTTCCTGTTTTAGAGCTAGGGGACCGCAGCGCAGTTACCCTTGAACTTGTCCAGCTGAACTTGAAAGTCAGCGTGGTAGGAACATAATCACCACCTGGGGTTGGGCTGTGGCCTGGGCTCCGCCTTGATTCTCTGCACAGAGGAAATGCCAACTCTGTTCCCTTGTATCAATAGGGGATATCCCACCTGGAATACGAAACACTATCTGCCTTTTGCGCCATGGGACCTGCAGGCTGTTTTTCTGCCACGCTGGTGAGAAAAAGGCTGACATCTGCTCCGATCCTTGGAATAGGTGCTGCTTATTGCCGGGGGCGGATGACAGCACTCAGTCCTGAACCGCAGGCTTCGGGCAGCCAGCCAGGTCTTCACGCGCCCCCAGGGCCTAGAGCAAGGTGTGGCTTATAGCAGGTGCTCAATAAACCTTTGTGGATTGAACCCAGCCCCAAGGGTGAAGGTCTAATAAAAGAATGTTCCTAAAAGCTTGCTTACTTTGCTTTCTTCCGTTTTTTTTTCCTGAAGAGCCTCCGCATTTTGTAATATTCTACTTCTTTGCCCTGACCCAGAGAGCATCTCTTACCTGCCCACAGATGAAGGTGAACTTGAACCCAAGGGTAAACTCTCTCACCTTCAGAGGGACAGAGTTACAGCCTGCCTCCTGGCCTCTGGCCCACAGGTTGGCCGGTTTCAGACCCAAACAGCAGCCTCATTCCACCCATTCCCAGACCCAGTGAGCTGCCGCCTTCCCCAGGCACCTCCCGTCGTTACCCCAGTAGGTCACATGTTCACAGGATTGTATTGTTTTCAAACATTCACTCAGTAATTCCACTTGATTAAGACAGCAGCCCTTTACAGGGATGGAAAGGAAGTGAAAGTCCGAAGGTCAAACACACTGCCCCAGTGAGCAAGTCCTAAGTGGGATTCTTGGCATACGGCCTCGGCCAGGTGCTGGCGGCTCTAGGTCACCTCAAAGAACACACTTCTGAACAATCAGAGCGAGGCAGGGCCCCTGTGCGCAGATGCCTTGAGCTCTCCCCCCTCCCTTGGCTTTTCTCTAGATCCAGCCCAAACCTGTTCTTCATACCACACTTTGAGCCAGTGGTCTCAAGTGTAGTGAATATTAACTACAGGTAAGAAATGTGGAAAGGTAATAGAGGCACGTGCTGATGTCTAAGACCGTGGGCCCAGCTCTTCCCACTCTAGCAGCCTGAGGAGACACCGTGCTTCCGTATCCCGACGCACTGCCTGCATCTAGGGCGCATGAAGGAGCTGAGCTTACCCCCACATCATCTAGAACGCGTGCTTCTGGCTCCCGGTCTGACTCCCAGCTCAAGTTCAGGAATGTGTTTGGCGTAATATCTGGGGCCTGTCCCCAGACTCCTTTAAAGCCCATACAGGGGGGCGGGAGGGGGGCGGGGAAAGGAAAACAAAACAAAACGGTGCCCGGACTCTGGGGAGAGGTTCTGGGCCACGTCCCCCACTGCGCCTGCGCTGTGGGCCTGCCAGTCCCTTCTCTTGGCCTCCCTTCCCTCCAAAACCAAAGACGGGAGCTGGGTCCAGACTGGCTAGACCCCATCACGGGCTGCGGGGCGCAGGCTCAGTGCTTCACCTGGTGATGTCTGGGGTGGTGGGCAAGAGACCCCCACAGCATCAGGCGGCATGGGGTGCTGGCTGAGGTTTAGAGGGCAGGTAGGAAGGGCAGGGAAGGAAGGCCCGACGAGGAGGGGCGTCCAGGTGTCTTCAAGGGCCCCACTCCAGTTGATCTGATCCTGTGGTTATTCCATCCTGTGACAAAGCGTCTCCAACCCTGGATGCAGGGTTTTGCGCCGCCTCTCTGAAATATGGAACAAGTTACTTTGTCTCCGCAGCTTGCATCTCCTCATTTTTAAAAGCACCACGTCGGACAGGGCCCTAAAGACCTTGGTACGGTCCTAAGAGAGCTGGAAGGCCCAGACGCGGACCGGTTTTCACCTTGGCCAGAGGCAGCTGTCGATCCCGAAGGCGACCAGCAGAGGGCGCGCTGCCACCTCAGAAACCTCCCCAAGGTTTTGAGAATAACTTGCGAGGCGGGTAGGGGGGTTAGAGAGGAAAAGGGGGAGGGATTGAGAAGCTGAGATTGGTGGTCACAGAATAGCCAGGGGAATGTAAAGTACAGCGCGGGGAATGTAAAGTACAGCGCGGGGAATGTAGACAATAGCATTGTAATACCTGCGTAGGGTGTCAGATGCGTACTGGAGAAATAGGAGGAAGCAATTTGTAAAGGATATAAAGGTCTAAGCACTGGGCTGTACACCTGAAACGAATCTAATATTGTATGTCAAGTGTAACTTAAAAATTAAAGGTGAAGGAAGCAGCCGCCGGGGATCCGAGTCGGGCTGGGACGGAGGGAGCCTGTTTCCTGGCAAGGTCAGGGCGCAGGGCCTCCGCCGCCAGGCCCTCCAGCCCGAGTTCCGCCGCAGGATGCGGGGGTGACCCGCAGCCGCTGCCGACCGCGCGGCCGGGCTGTTCACCGAAGCAGCACCGTGCGTCCTGCCTGCCTGGCGCCAGGCCGCGCCAGCCGCAGGGCTGCGCAGCGCGAAGGCCGAGCCGGCTGCCTCCTGCCCCTGCTGGCTTCTGCGGGTTGGACACGCTCCCCCCCCCACCCCCCCACCCCCCCACCCCCCGGCCCAGCGCCGAGCACGCTCACCTGCGGGAGGGGGCAGGTTGGCGGGGGCGGGGGGAGCGCTCCAGGCAGCAGAAACGCAGCAGGCCGAATAATATTCCGTCGTACATATGAGGGGGACCCAAAAACACCCGGAACGATCTCCTGGCGGGGCGCGCGCTGTAGGGCAGGCTTCCCCGGCTAGGTGCGCGCTGTAGGAACCCAGGCCACCAGCTGGCGGTTGCGAGAGGCCGCTGTTTGGCCTCAGTGGTTTTTGTTTTTGTTTTTGTTTTTGTTTTTGTTTTTTGAAGACTCTGTCAATATATTTGCCCATTCCATGATGGGTGATTTATGAGAGCGCCTGCCTACACCCGCTGTTAAGTCGTTTTTGACCAAAAACAGCACGACCCCCGGTGCCCTACCCTCCCTATTCACCCTATCTCACCCCCAGTGACTCTTTTGTTTCCCCCGATGAAAAAAAGTCCTCAGGAGGAAACATTTTGCCGATGTGGAAGAGGTGAAACAAAAAACAGCAGAAGTACTAAAAGACAACCAAATCCACGCGTCCAAAACTGTTTTGAGCATCGGGAAAAAAGTCTTGATAGGTGTATTCCATCAAATGGAGAGGACTTGGAAGGTAACTGAAGTTTAAACATGGGCGAATACACATTTTTTATAAATAAGTTCTTTATCCACTCATCTATTGATGGGCACCGAGGTTGCTTCCAGATCTTGGCTATCGTAAGTAACTCTGCAATGCACGTAGGGGTGGCGATGTCTTTTAAAATTAGTATTCTTGTTCTCTTTGGACAAATACCCACGGAAACCAAAGATGTGCTTGCCAGAAGGAAGGGGAGGGAGGTGAGTGAAGGGGGAAGGGGAAGAGAGTCAAAAACATGGTGATAGGTTCTCACTGTGACTGATGTTTCTTAGAGTTAGTAGGTGATCACACTGTAAGGTATAAAAAGGTCAAATCACTATAATGTACACCTGAAAACAATATAACCAATATAAGAGTGTATACCAACTCTACTTACATTAAAAAAATAAATTTAAAAAAACAATAAAAATCTGACATGGGTTTTCGACAAACAAGACAATCGTTGAAAATTGTCTTTTTTCAATATTTTATGTATGTATGTGTTTTTAGAGAGCGGGGAAGGGAGGGAGGAAGAGAGGGAGAGAAACATCACTGTGTGGTGCCTCTCGCATGCCCCCTGCTGGGGACCTGGCCGGCAACCCAGGCCTGTGCCCTGCCTGGGAATCGAACCCCTGCTGACGGGGACACCTGCCAGTTAGGATTTCCATCCACAGCCCCGGTGGTAGTGTGAGCAGGTGGCAGCCCTTCTGCTGGGACACCGGGGAGAGGCCTGAGTCTGCTGTTCGGATCTCTTGCCTGGAAACCTGAGAGGAACTTGCGACACAGACGCTGCAGCTCACGCAGCCACACAGGCCTTGGCCGTCACGGCCTTCTGGGGCCCTGGGGCAGCCGGGGCGGTGGGGGCGGTCAGCTCTGGAACCGGAACTTCCAGAGGGAGCAGGCAGGGCCGCGGAAACGGCCTGCTCCGTGTGGCTGGGGGACGGTTCTGCGGCCTCGCGGAAGGGGGCTTTGCACAGTGAGTGGGGGGCTGGTGGCCAAAGCGGGTGGAGCACGCGAGTGAGAAACAGGGAGGGCCGGGGTGGGGGCTGCCCCCACCCCCAGGCGCGGGTTCCAGAGCAGAACAGAGGAGCTGGGGCCGCGGCCAGCTCGACTGGGGCAGCGGGGGGCAGGGGCGAGTACCACCCTGCCTCGCTATCCACAAACCAAACACTGCAAAGCACAGATCAGCACCCACCGCCCCAGACTCACCCGAGGCTGCCCCTGGTCCCCGTGGTGAGCCCTGCGGTCCCTGACCTGGGACCTGGCTCTGAGATCCCTCACACCGAACTCCTGGGAAAGCCCCGGCTGCCACCATCTCCTCAGCGCCAAGCAGCCCGCACGGTCAGGAAGCCCCAGGCCCCTGCTCTGCTCCCTGGACCCAGGACACCACTGAGCCTCTCCTGGCGTCCACCCCTCCAGCCTGGGCTGCCTTGTCTCAGGGGGCGGGGTCCCCCTGCGGGCTGGGCACCTTCCTGCGCTCCCTCAGCCAGCTGCCTGCGCACGCTGCAGCTCGCCACGGTCACCTGCCCTGCCCCTGCCAGCCCCTCACCCTCACCCTCGCCTGCCTCCTTCACAGCGCAGAGCCTGTGTTGTAGGCATCATGTTTCCTTTCATGTCTATTGTGTGTCTGTGAAAGGAAGAGAGGGAGGGTGGGAGGCAGGGAAGAAGAGATGAAGGAAGCAAGAGCAAGCCCAGTGGCTGTTGTCCGGAAGGGGGGCTTCGACCAGCCCGCCCAGGATGTGGACAGGGCTCAGCACTCGGGCTGGCTCTGCTCGGGAGCAGGGCTGGGGCAGGGAAGGGAAGGGGGGACCGGCTACCGTGAGGTCCCCCTCCCTGGCGGTTCTGGGTGGGCACCACACCTGGAGGCGGGAGCGTTAGAGCCGAAGGAATCCCAGCAGGAAGCCTCCTGCCAGACGGCGCTTCGGCATCAGCCTGCCTTTAATGATGCGCTGTCTGTCCAGCTCCTTTCACGGAGCTCACGTCTCTCCTCCCCAGGAGCACAGCCGGGCCGAAGCCAGAGCCCCTGGGGGAACGGGCTGGGGTGGGGGGACCCGCAG